AATCAATTCATATTATTAAGGACCCGATATGCCCTAATCAAATCTTGCCGTCCGTCTGTGTGATCACTATTGAAGGAAAATCCTAGAGTCTTGAAACTTCATATGAAGTTTGTTCAATTGAAATCGATCTTTGGCCCAGAAAAAAAATATTTGCAAATATATCTGCAAATAATAACCACTAGAATTAAGCTACATATCCCATTGTTTTCACCAACCGATGTAAACCCTACTTAAAGAATTCTTGTGGCTGTGGCTCGAGGAATTTTTTTTAACTGCTTTTGTACTTCTTCGTCAGACTGAATCGCGCAGACAATAGAATATCTATGATCAGACACATGCAGTGGCGTTGCAATATTAAATAAATTAAATTATTTGAAATCGCACTAATTACACAATTATTACTCAATTAAATAATAAATGGAGTTTGATTGTAGACAGATTGTTTTATAGATACCAAACTTTTTGTTTGTTATAATACCATCTTTAACAATTGATACTCTATAAAGTTTGGTAAAAGTTAATTTCTAATTTAGTATCAGTTACCTTAAAACCATAATTATGTTAACGACTCATTAAGGACTAAGGACATACAAAGAATTGATAAGAATTATTTCCGAAAATTTCTAGTCACTGGATTTCAGACGAGTTCGTAATTTATTCTCATTATGTTGTCGAGTCTCAACAAGAAAGGTGCTACCACGCGTATTAGAACTATTTTGTAGAATGGAGATGGTCAAGTGTAGTACGAGTAAACAGATCAGATTGACACCAGAATCCAAAGGAATAGTTTACAAAATCTATTTAAATATATGCAAACACTATTTCCTGAAGATAATCGAACCAGTATTAAACAACGTGTGAGTGAAGCTACTGGAGTATCTTAACGTATAGTAGAAAGGATCATTCAACAAGCGAGTATGTTAACAAACGCAGAGTCAAATAATACACTAAAATTCCCAGCTACAACAGCATTTAAAGGATTTAAGAAAGATAAATGACGTTTATTATTTGAACTGAATGATATTCGTGCTCTACGCATTAAATATTACAGGAGCGAAGTTAAAGTCAATTTTATATATTGATGAAACCTATGTACATTCAGGACACACTACGCCAAATAGCTGGACAGATAACAGTGGCAAAGGATCCCCAATTTGCCTTTTTAATTTTTTTACTTTATTACAATCATTTCGTATATTCTTCTATTTAACTTTGTGACGTTTAAGTAAGTAATAATATAAATAATAAAGGTTTTATAGTTAAAACAATCTTTGTAATTAATATTTATTAATACTGTAATCTGTAATATGTATCTATGGTTTCATATACAGACAGTATATATGTGATATATTATAAAAATATGTATTAAAATGTAGTACAACATTGCCAAACATTTAATCTAATATTATTGTTTAATAAATTGTGTGTACATATCTTTAACAATTTGATTTAAATCATAAGTATTTTTTGAAACGCCACTGCTTTGTTTGGCGATGCTTTACTGTTCCTAGAAATTTCCGCCACTACAGTTGAAACATACTGTACGTTTTAACGACTTTTTCAGTGGCCCAAAGGTGTGAAAATCACAAGGCGATAAGTCGAGACTATAGGGTGGATACTCTATTCTCCATTTTTTCGTTGTAGATTTTTTTTCTGTACTTTCGCAATGTGAGGTGGTGCATTGTCGTGCAGAAGAATGACATCACGTGAGAGCTATTCTGGACGTTTTTGTCATATTGCTTGGTGGAGCTTTATGACATTCATGGCTTCATTATATGAGTAATGGTCGACAAAAATGTTTTTTACTGCACACTGATTATATTGATCAGTGTGACGTTTATACACATAACTAACATTGCAGAATGTCAGTTGAGTGATTACAATTGTTTCCAAGGCTAACCCAGCCAAAGGCCTACTAGCCATGGGTTTCAATTGAACAAGCTCATACATTGGTAGCTATTAGTCCAAGAAAAAATCCTATTCAATTTGGGGTAAACAGGTTAAAGATTATCAAAATGACAGAGCTCAAGATAGTAGGGCATACAGTTTTTAAACTTAGTAAATCGTAGGTTTGGTGCAAACTCATTTATTCAAAATTAACTTCGAGAAAATAGTATGTAAAAAACAGCGATGTGTTTTATATCATATAATTCATAAACAAAGTTGTATTTTCTAACTTTTGTTATACTACTAGAGAAAAAAATACATTCTCTGGTATGTTTAGAAATATTTTTTTCTTTAGTTGTAAATTAATTTTGTAAAAATTAGAAAAACAAAAAGATGCACCTTAATGAGTTTTAATTTTTACTCTGCTATAAATAATCTTACTTAATCAGATTTTCGGTATCGAATTACAGTACAAAATAAACATTAAGTAACAATAATAAAGTAAAGAACTACCAAATTGCTTCTCCAAGGCTGCTGCATTACACCTACACTCTTTAAAAGTTATGTTTAAAGGGTTTCGAATATCTGTAGAAGAAAATGTGAACTTATGGGTATTCCAATTGGAGATCATAAACTGTACAGCTTGCATTTTGCAGATGACACAGTAATACTTGCAGAAAATCAAGATGTTGCGAAAAATAGATGAAGAATGTACCAAGTGGCGTTGGGTTAATCCATCAAAAACGGAGTATGTAGTGGTGGGAGGTGTAGGAGGGCACTTGGATAATAGCATCAAAACTACATGCAATAGAAATGAATTGGTGGTGTAGATGTTGCAAACTCATGTCGAAAGGATTGAATCCCCACCAACCGAATGAGGGGTAGACAAAGAAGATCATGGCGATTAGAAGTAAACGGTGCAATGGAAGATCGAGATCTTCAGTGCAGATAACTAAAAGGATCGCAAGCGTTGGAAGATACGATGCGAGAAACGGCGAGACAGCTGTAATAAACTCGTTATTATATACAATAAATCTTAAGTATATCAGCATATGAACTGAATATAATACAAGAACTCTTTGATGATAATAGGTCCATCCTACATATGCAATGACCACTTACCAATCACATCAGATGAAGTGGAAAAAGCAATATTACAACTAAAAGAGAGCAAACCTCCTAGACCTGACCTAAATTCATAAAACTATTTAACATCGACTGTACTCAACACCTAACAAAAGTATCTGATAACATATTCAAGCAGATTAATACCAAGGACATGGCTAAAGTCGAGGGGTATTGCTTTATCAAAGAAAACAAAATCCGTATCCTACAATGATTTTCGGACCATCAGCTTAATGAGCCATATTCAGCGAAAGATGGAATGCTGCAAATCATTTTACGGGGAAAAGTGGTATTAAAACGTACATAGAAAAATCTATGTACGTGGTTCAGAACTACTAATATGATAGGCACTACAAGAAGAAGACATAAGCAATAAATGTATTAAACAAAATACAAAATTGTTATCTTAAATTTTCATCGGATGCTTCCAGTGACTGATCAATCAGCGCTCCAATCACACCTCCCGACGAGATCTGCTCGTAATTTAAAGACTCCTATGTTTGGTTTTATATTTTCCAGACACCCACCTGGAATCCGTTATTTTATTTATGTTTTTGATATTTGATTTATTTTATATTTTATTACCTTTTTGACTTTTTTTCTTGTCTATATATTCATTTGTTGTTGTCAATTCCACTTATGAAAAAGATATCCATTTATTTAAGTCTCGTGACTTGAGTCTGGAAATACGCTCTCTACGAAGGTAAGCTGCGTCTCTACGAAGCACATTGCCTTCACATCTAGTGATAGTTTGCCCATCAAATATACACCAGCAACACAATGCATACATATACGTCTGGTCTACTCCAGCTGATGACATTCCTCTTAGAGGGACTGAATAGGTTAACAGTAGTAAAAATTCCACATCCAGGACCTCCTCAGCGACAAGATTCAGACAGATTGTAACCAGATTCGGGAATAATAACTTTTGCTCTGAAAGAGGTCGGTAGTGACAAATACCACCCTATGTATTCACTTTAAGAAGTCTACAAATACGTCTACGAAAGATGGAACAGGTGTAAGCCCACCAATGGAGCAGGAATTTTTAAGTAAATAATAGTGTCTATCTATGAGATGTGGCTATTAAATAACTGACTGCGCTGTAAAATATTTTATTTAAATCAATGCTGAAGATTTTCTTCTATCAACTCCTTTAGAACATGTACCGTTTTCACTGTCACAGCTTTAATAGACTTAAATCGTGTTCATCTTAAGGTAAATTTTACTTATAGAAGTCTCACAGAGCAAGGTCCGGAGAATAAGGTGGATTATCCAACAGTTAAATCCTGTACTTGTCTGGAGACTTCTTGAAATAAATGCAGAATGCGCCGACGCATTATATTGACGGAGAACAGAACGGAGTTCAGTGGTGGTGGTGTATACGCGCTTTCCTCATAGAAATGTGAATCTCGTTATTTAATAGCCACACTTCATATACAATGTTATTGTGGCAAAAAAATTTTGATTTAAATTACTGCGATATATTCCAAATAACTAATCATTTCCACATATGAAGAATTCAATAGCACTGATTAAAGATGAAGTAAAAAGATTACACGACAATTTTTTTTATTCAATAAAATTATTATTTTGCACAACGTAAAGGGAAATATTTATCTACTTCATTTGGCATGAAGTCCTAGTCTAGCCACTTGCAGTTTCTCACATTTATTAATTCTCTTTGTATTATTAATTAAAGAACATTAATAATGTACCAAATCAATACTATATAACCTGGAAAATGCACTCTAAGAAATGAAAGCAAAAGTAATTTTAATATTAAATATTAATAAGCCATATTTTCTACTTTAAATAGCAGAAGAATCAATACTTTAACTGATTAATTTCTTAATAAAATGTTAAAAACATTAAGACCAATTTTTTCAAAGAATCCAATTCAAATAAAATACAAAGTCATGCTTGTTTTTTGATTTTGTGTCAATCATTGTTTCTCTAAGAAAACTAGTAGCTACTATTAAAAAACATACTGTTATTGGCCATCAGGTTTTCTTGCCACTTGTCCCTCTGTTCTTCAAGTACGTCTCCAAGGTACTGAGCTACCTTTCTGGTAACCTGCTCCACGAACCCATCAAGCTTGCCCAGATCGTCAGAAAGTCCTACCAACTGATCCAGAGTACCAACCTATAATATATATTCACAAAAATAAAAGAAGTTCGTTTAAATAGTAATTTAAAAATATTCACTTAGCATGTGAAACTGTGATATGAGTGATTCGACATCAAGTAAGTAAAGTCAAGAACATGAAGCTTTTAGATTTTTCTGAAATTGTATACATTTATTCTTCACTATTTTTACTAGGAATAAAGTCAAAATTGTACTTTAAAATAATTTTACGTCTTGATTTTTAATTCCGAACAGTGTATACCAGTACAAAGCGGAGACAGACAGAGTGACTCGTTAAGCCCACTTCTCTTTAATATAATAATGGACGAAATAATACAAACAATACGTAAAGGTCATGGTTACAGAATGGGGAACAACAAAATCCAAATATTATGTTATGCAGACGACGCCGCATTAATCTCCGAGACAGAAGACGAGCTCCAAAGATTAACACACATCTTCAATACAACAGCCAAGAAATACATTATGATAATGTCAGCAGAAAAAACCAAATGTATGACAACATCTAAATACCCACTACGATGTAAAATCGTAAGAGTCAACATCTAGCCAAACAGTGTCATGCCATTGAAGAACTTGAAAAAAGATACGACACGTTTAACATGTATAAAAAAGTGAAAGAAGCGGCTGGTATCTTCAATAAGAAACAAACTGCATTGCTACAGGATGAAAATGGTAAAATACTATTTGAAGTAGAGGACAAACTTAAAGAATGGGAAAATAAAATTACGTCGCGAACCTATTCGAAGACGATAGGAGTAGTTCACCTCCCGATATTACTAACTGCGACGGACCCCTAATAACACGCTCTGAGGTTATAAAAGCCATACAATCATCAAAATATGGCAGAGCGACTGGTCCTCATGAAATTCCAACTGAAATATATAAGCTTATAAATGACAGCAATGCTTTAGAGGGTATAACTTCGTTTTTCAATACCATTTATACCAGCGGACAACTACCTAATGGTTGCTCTAATTCACTGTTTATAGCTCTACCTAAGAAGAAAACAGCAAAAACCTGTGCTGATTATAGAACCATCAGTTTGTTAAACCACTCATTGAAAATTTTTCTGAAGGTAATACATGGTCGTATCTACAATAAATGCGAGGAATACCTGGATGACACTCAGTTTGGTTTCTGTAACGGGTTTGGAACGAGAGAGGCACTGTTTGGAATGAACGTACTTGCTCAAAAATGTCGTGATATATCTGTAGACATATACTGTTGTTTTATTGACTTCCAAAAGGCATTTGATCGTGTTAAGCACTCTATATTGATCAAGACTTTAGCTTGGACGACATAAATGTTCGAATAATTGCAAATTTATATTGGAATCAAACAACATCAGTTTTAGTAGATGGTGTGGAATCACAGGCTCTCAATATTAAAAGAGGAGTACGGCAGGGATGCCTCTTGTCACATCTGCTTTTTAACATTTACTCCGAAAGAATTTTCAGATAAGCACTTTCTGAAAAACAGGAAGGAATACTTGTGAACCGCGAAGTCATCAATATTTTGCAATATGCGGATGATACAGTACTCCTAGCTTCTAGTCAAGAAGATCTGCAAACACTACTTGATAGTGTCGTTGAGAGTTGTAGGGAGGCAGGTCTGGATCGTAACATACGGAAAACCAAAATACTCGTAATAAGTAAACAACAGCATATAAAACTGTCTATATATGTAAATAATACCAAACTTGAGCAAGTTGATAAAATCGTTTACCTTGGACAGCTTAAATTGTAACACAGAAAGTCACGGCGAAATTAGATCTAGGATAGAGCAGGCTATAGCTGCTTTAAGAAGGATGTCCTAGGTGTTATGTAACAGAGACCTAAAATTGGCATTGAGGATCCACCTACGTCGCTGCTACCTGTTCTCGGTCTTACTTTATGGTGTCGAGTCCTGGACTGTGAATAAAATCAATCTAAATCGCCTTGAGGCTTTCGAATTGTGGTGCTATAGAAGAATTTTAAAAGTTTCCTCGGTGGAGAAGATTCGAAACTCCACAATACTTGAACGTCTCAGCAAGACTACGGAGATCAAAATAAATTTAATACAAATATTATGTAGGCCCTCTCAGAATGTCATTTATTTTGCTCCAAACGCTTAAAATATTTTAATACGCTTTTAAGGGTTGTCTTTCCGGATACTTATTAATAGTAATACTAATGTTTGAATTTAAATATTAACGGGGTGACTTTTGCAACGTCCTTGAAAAGTAGACCTTTATAAAAATGACCCTTACTTAGACTCCCCTTAGGATTTTCCGTTAGTATTGTAAATTTTAACATAAACATGCGCTATCAATATAGGTTTCAAATTTAATCAAAATCTGAACAAAACTAAAATAGTTCAAAATGGGTTCCAAATAAATTTGAACCACTGTGTATATAATGTGTATATGTAAAAGTGACATACATTTGTCTCATACATTTCTAGAAGTGTGTCGAAGTGTCAGACGTAAACATACATTTAAGCAGAAAATTTTATATTGATTATATTTTACATGTACCAAAGCAAAGTTGAGCTAAAATCAACATTTTAATCAGTGATTCTCCTGAAAATCCCAATACAGGTTCCCTAATTGACCTATTGAGCTGATATTGGGAAAAGTTTATTTTTATGATAAGGAATAAGTGTGACAATTTCAGACAAATCAAAGACAGTTGGTTCTTGCTTTGCTTAATTGGCATGATAGGTTGAGTTTACCGAAAGTACAAGCTGATTATAGCTGCAAATGTCAAACATGGAACAAAAAATTTTGGTTTAGCAGTGTTGGCATGTTTTTATAATGTAGATGCTGTATGCTTCAAATATAAAAAGATAAAGCTTTAGAAAAATACACTTTGTTTATATTATGTTATGAATTCTGCAATTTTTGATTTATATGAAACAAGAATGAGTAAATATTTGTTTCTATGGAGATTAATTGTAGTTAATTATTAGAATTTTTTTTAGCAATTACCCTTTGATTGATTAGGGGATAGATTTGGCAATCATAAAATCAACAGTTGCCAGATTACAGTAGATGTTTGCAATAAAAATCTTGAAAGAGACAAATATCTACTCGTTACTGCTTCATATAAATTAAAAATTGCAGAATTCATAAAATAGTATAATCAAAATGTACTTTTTAAAAGCTTTATCTCTTTACATTTGAAGCATACAACATATGCATTATATAAACATGCTAACACTGCCAAACCAAAATATTTTTGACATTTGCGGCTATATTCAGCTTGTACTTTCGGTAAACTAAACTGGCATGATATTACTCATGTGAAACTTATACTTAACTATTACCAGTTTAAGGTATCTAGGGTCAGTTAGATCACCTTAATCAATAAGAAGTGAATCCTACATTAATAGCTTTCAGTTATTACTACTTACATAAGACACATACCATCATTTAATTTATATAAATTAAATAAAAAAATTTAAGTCAAAAGTATAATGAGAATTAAGTAGGTTATGTCAAATTAATTAGAGGCATAGACATATAATACAAGATAGACTGATTGTTGCAATACCAGCCCATCCCCTAATGTGACAGATAAAATAATAAAATTAAACTATATAAATACAGATATAGCTCCCATATAATAACTAGATACAGTTACATTGCGATTTTGACCACTACATGTGTCACTCATTAAAACAAACTCTTTACTATTTACCATCGCAATTGTTTTCTAGATATTTATAAAGACAAGAGGATACTTCAATCAAACCTCTTCCAGCCACTCCCTCATGCCACATATAATTAGTGGTGTTTCTAGTCCGGACATTGTAAACAGTAAGATTATACACTACCAATCATCTTTTGTAAAATATTGCTTTAGCTTTGTTGTCTATATCTTTAACAAAGGTTTCTGATATGTTGAACATGGCAAGAAAAAATCGCTGACAAACTTTCACTCTTGGATTTTGTTACCTGCTTTCACTAAATAATACTCTTTGGTATTTGAATATTGTGAATTCTCAGCTTTTGTTCTAACTGAACTTTTTGGTTTTACTTCAACTAAAGAAGAAATCTATAGTTCTTGCTTTTTGATATTTCCAAGTTCATTCCAAAATGAAGAGTGACAGTACTGGCTATATTCTTCATTAAATTTACTATTACATTTTTTGAGGCAGTTAGAACAATCCTTTTATTTTACACTGCTTGCACTAACTTCTTTATCTTGTATACAAACACAGGAATTACCAGTCTGTGTTAACCTTTTGCATATATTCTTGTTCCAAGTACTTGGATCAGTCTTCCGTTTTCGTTTAATTTGAGAACTGGCACTAATATTTCTGGTACTCACTGCATTCACATTCGGCCCCAACAAAATACTTCCTTCATTCCTCATTCCTGTCTTAGCCGTTGGTTTTTGAACCAGAATAAGTAAAAGACTTTTGAGATGAAGATTCAGGAGTTAAAGGAACATAATGAGGGTCATCAATAGAATCGTCACCAAAAAATATATCCTCACATTATTCATATCATGATACATTAGGTTCACTAGCAGAAACAAGCGAGGCACTATCTGAATGTGTCACTTGTGATGAAAGAGGTAAATTATGAATATGTTCCATCATCTGGTACAGATTTGTTAATAACTAACTGCTTCCCTCTTGAATCCATTATTGCTTAATAATAAAATTATAATACAGTATTATAACAGATCTCTACACCAATTAACTTAAAACTGATTCATGTGTTTACACCTTCACAGTTGTAACAGAACAGGAAATGCGACAGACTACACTGCCAAATATATAAAACAAATTATTAAATCTAGTTTAATTACCTGCAACCATTCAATGTAATAAAATTGATGTCACAAAAATATAACTCAATATCAGCTTATTTATAGTATGAAAACATAGTATCACAGAAATGTAACACTACTTGCATTTCTACAACATTATTTTCTTTCACTTCCAAGATATTAAATTATTTCATATTCACCTTAGGTTAAAAAGGTACTTACTTTCAAGTCTGGGATTTGAAACTTGTAGTTAGTTGACAAATTATTCTGTTTACTTGTTAGGTTATTCATTGTGTCCCATGTCTGTTGACAGGTCTTATCCCCTGGGGCAGATATCAACCAATACTCAGTCATTTCTTCTTGGTGATCAGAAAGTATGCTGGCTCTATGTGAATGAAGTCTATGGTGGCTTCCAAGATCTTCTTTATCACTCCTAAAATAAAAAAAGAGTTATCTATTTTCCAAATTATATATCTTTGGTGGTACTTTGATTTTTTAAGCTTCATGTTGAATTTCAATTAATGTTGTCATGTGACTTTTAAATTCAAGATTGTATTAGAGCTAAATAAACATATTAAAAATATTTGAATAAGAACTATTCATAGGTAATAGTAAAGTACTGTATACTGCTTAATTTACAACAGTGAACAAGCTTTTTCCCAAAATAACAAAAAAATAATATTTCTTCTTGGGGAACCAATCTGTTTTTTATGTAAATGCATAGCAAACACAAACACTGGCCCATTGAAATATTAAAGAAAACTTAGCTATTTTGATTCTTCTAGGTCATGCTAATGTAGTCCCTACCCTTAAGAAATAGTTAAAATTATAATTATTGGGTAGAAGTATAGTTTAAATGAATTTTAGACATGGAAACAATGAGTGAAGTTATATTTATGCTCTTTTAATTTTTAATTCTTTAAGTTGATTGATGAATTGTCGATATTATTTTACCTTCAAATAATGGAATAACTCCAAAAAACACCCCTTTCAACCACTCCCCAATGAACAGAGTCAGCCCAGCTGATCGTTATTGAAGTTTCACGTGATTGTTGGTGCCGTCATTTGTCTTTAGATGGACCTACCCAATTGACATTTAGGGAGTTTTTTGCGCTAAGAATTCAAAAATCATTAAACAATATAATCTATTTTATATTCAAATTTTAAAAAAGTAATAATTATTGGCTATAATAATTAATAAATATAAAAACATTGATTATTAAAATTATTATAGTGGATCTAGGGTTTTATATTTTAATGGAAAGAAAAATGCTTACGAAGATGCCTGATCTTCATAATCATTATTTTCATCTTTAATACTTCCACTACGGCTTCTATTGACAAAGTGCATCACAAAAACAGAAGTATATAAGGATATTATATCTTTTTAATCTTCCAGTCAAATAGTAAAAGATGTTGACAATTTGAATTTTCTTTCATTTTTGACAATTTTGTTATATTGTCAAATATTTAATTTCTTCTTGTTATCTGTTATATGCGTATCTTGTTAATACAGTTTCTCCCATAAATACTGATTCTCATAATTACAATATCTTGATATATAATTGTTTCTTTTGTATTTCTAATTAAAATATATTGAATCAAAGAATGATTAGAATACCTATAATTAGATTTAAAATATTTTTTATTTTAAATATCATGTTTAACTGGGAATAAGTCAGAATTTATTGAAATGAAAATTGAATGCTTTTTGACGTTTCGATTTCCGTTTTAGAAATCGTTTAAAAATATATATATTTTAAAAATTGTGCGAAAAATATACCCAAAAAGTTGTTGATGTTATATTTTTTTATGTTGGTATTAAAACTACATAAAATATATTCAGTTACCATAGCAACAAAACAACAATTGTGAATGACAGGAGAATAGGTTATAGTTTTCATGAATGTTTATAGTTTTTTTGTTATTGTGTTTTATATGGATATTATTTAAATGGTTCAAATATGGATAAGCAAAAATCTTGTACTTCTTGCCAAGTAATATCAATTTTGTGTTTTTGTGGCATTGGAACCTATTTAATTTCTACAGGAAGAATTTATAAAAGCACTCCAAAAATTGTAATAAATTTATTGGGGATTGGTAAGATAATTGTGTATATATAATCTTTATTGAAATGCCTTCACACTAAACAGTTCAGTCTAAACATATAAAAAAAAACAAAAGTCTTGTCATTAGTATATAGATATTTAATAATTCACATGTTGGTCTTCATTAGTACAAGTCCTTAAGTTAATAGCAATTTAATATGAGTTTTTATCATCTTTAATGTGATGTCAATTTAAAGATGATTTGACTGTTGTACTTAACAGTCAAATTGACTGTTAAGTACAACCTAGATGAATATTATTTTGATTTGCTTAAGAATTCAATAGGTCACTGAGTTTCAGACTGTGATCCTAGCGGGCATTTACTTTTATTTAACCTTTTCTTTGAGAAAAGATTTCTTTCTTTCATTTGAGAGAGTGGTTCAGTTGCAGCTCATTAGAATTATTCGGAAGCATGGCCAATAAAATTAAAATGTGATGATGATTTCCAATAACAGAAGGAATCTTTTCTTAATTTAACCAGTTGTGGTTTTGTTAACCAGTATCACACTAACATTTAACCATCTTCACATACAAATAACATGCACTCAGATCTTATGTAGCTGCTACCCCTACAGAATTACCTCTACCCCCTGCCTTCCTGAGACCAGTTAATTATCATGCCTCTCTGCCCAATACTGTACTGTGTGATTACATTAAAGCAATAGGTAGTATTGTTGCTCCCAAAAATGTACACTTCATGCTCGTATCTGTATTTACTTGTCTTCTTCAAAGCAAGTTGATAATCTATGCACTCATCAAAATATAATATTACTCATCAATATAGAATCTCCCATGCCTGTATCTGTATTTACTTGTCTTCTTCAATGCAAGTTGATAATCTTCTATGCACTCATCAAAATATTACTATTGATTCAAATGTTATTCCAATATGCCTACTTAAATCTACTTATTTAACCTACCAAAAGAATATTAGTTTCTAATGTAAGCCCATCCATTCCTCATTCTGTAATTAGAAATGCACTCCAGTATCTAGGATTAACACTTACCTCTCCTATTTCTTACGTTAAGATGAATACACTTATTTTTTGAGTTTTTGCAGCATAACTTATATTTTACACAACAGTGATGATTTTTTCTGCAAACATTGACTATCATATTTTTTGAAAACTGAATTCACAGAATATTATTTATTTTAACTGATAAACTAGATCTATGGCTAGAGTGATTGGCATTTCTTAAAACATTTACAAGATTTCCTTTAAAGATTAAGGTTTTGTAGATGGTTTCAAAACAAAATTATCAGAGGACCAGAATTTCTGTACAAAATTTTGTGTGCAGATGAAGCACATTTTATGAGAAATAGTGTGTTTAACTTCCACAATTGCCAAGTGTGGAATGAAGAAAACTCATATGCTATAAGTAGGACAAATTTTCAAAAAAACTTTAATATTTTATGGGCTGGGATTATTAGTAATCATCTAATTGGACCAAGAATCATACGAACTATTTGAAGATTGAATGGAGAAACCTACTTAAATTTTTTGCAACATATTCTACTGATACTTCTTGGATGAGTACTTTTACAAATATGCTGTGAAATGTTGTTTATTCATAATGTCGCCCCAGCATTTGACAATTATTAGATATTTAATCAAAACAAATGATTTTTCTCTATCACAGTTATCAGTATAATACATAATATTATGCCTAGAAATCAATGATTCATAATAGCTTATTCACAGTAATTAACAAAGTATTATTATTAGTAATCATCTAATTGGACCAAGGATCATACAAACTCTTTGAAGATTGAATGAAGAAACCTACTTAAATTTTTTGCAACATGTTCTACTGATACTTCTTGGAAGAGTACTTTTACAAATATGCTGTGAAATGTGGTTTGTTCATAATGGTGCCCCAGCATTTGACAATTATTAGATATTTTGATATAAGGTTGAATGCTTGAATAAATGAACTTTGAAAATGAAAGGCAAATATCGAGCACAATTTTAACAATTAAATCTTACCCAAGTACTTTCGCCCAAGATGCTGTTTTAAGCGAAAGTACATGGGCAAGATTTTATTGTTAAAATTGTGCTTGATATTTGCCTTTCATTTTCAAAGTTTATTAGATATTTAATCAAAACAAATGCTTTTTCTCTATCACAGTGATCAGTATAATACATAATATTATGCCTAGAAATCAATTATTCATGATAGCTTATTCACAGTAATTAACAAAGTATTATTATTAGTAATCATCTAATTGGACCAAGGACCACACAAACTCTTTGAATATTGAATGGAGAAACCTACTTAAATTTTTTGCAACATATTCTACTGATACTTCTTGGAGGAGTACTTTTACAAATATGCTGTGAAATGTGGTTTATTCATAATGACGCCCCAGCATTTGACAATTATTAGATATTTAATCAAAACAAATGATTTTTCTCTATCACAGTTATCAGTATAATACATAATATTATACCTAGAAATCAATTATTCATGATAGCTTATTCAGAGTAATTAACAAAGTATAACAAGGAGTGCAACATTGCAGGCTGTGTTTGCTTTTCTGCAGATAATAATCAAATGGATTAAAATTATTATTTTTTAAACAGTTGACTTTACAAAAAAATATAAGACTTTCCTGTTTTAAAAGGTGCACTCAGTTCATACATTTAAGGAATGCACTATTTTTCAGGATACCCTGTACATATAATCAGCTTCTTAGATGTTGGTTATGTATAATATCATAAATTGTAATTCTGTTTTAGGTAGCTTTGGTCTAGGATTAAAAGAAACTTTCAACCTACAAGTTGTCCAAGATAGTATAAGAAAAAAAATATGACTGTATAAATATTTATTGTATTCAGTAAATAAAATAACATATTAAGATGTCTATATTATTAAATTCAGAAATTATTCACAAATTCTTATATATTAAATTAAATATTAGTCTTATATATTTATTATTATTATTTATTTAGAAACCAACTTTTCCCAGTTTGGTGTCTGTCTTAGGATTGGCTGTAACAGATTGTACAGCTACAATAAGTTCATTAGCTCTTGTCTGCAAATTTCGCATATCTTGAATGTAGATCATCCTCAATATTTTTGCTGCTTGATTCAACACTGGATCATTCAAATCAAAGCCTAGATCAGAATCTTGAATAGGAAAAGGTGTCCCCTAAAAAAATAAAGTTTTGAAATAATTTCTAATAAAAATTCTGATCACCATACTTTATATTTCAACTAAATATAAATACTCCATAAATTAAATATGTCTTTCTATTTGTTCTTGACATTTCAATTTCCAATTCAGAAATAATTTTAAATTTTTTTTATAAATTAAGAAATTATATTAACCTGTAGATGTTTAACAATTAGAGTGTTGTGATAAACAATTTGACAGTTGACTTACTTGGCCTCGATCTTGTAGGCAAATAGCCATGTTTTATGTTGAAGTTCTGATCTTTATGTGCTTATGTAGCTATTAAGTCATGCATATTGCTGACTTCTTTTTTCAGTATTAGGAACCAGATTCTGGTACATTCTGTTGATGCACATATATTACATATAAGATATAAAAATAGATACTGTAGGTCTCTACTTGAACCCTATTTTTTGAATGTCATCAAATTGTAAAAATCAAAGGACTTTATTAAGAAAATACAATAAATAATGTATTTTATTAACCTATAATTTAGTTCATTAATGTCTGGTTGCACCAGCAGATCCTAAGCTCCAGCTTAGCCTAGCTCTGCTTATATCTAGGGCCGCCTTAACTCTCACTTATGTTGCACCATAATTTTCGATTCTTATCTAAGCACTTCTTAACTAAGTCAAATTTTAAGATGCAATTCACATGGTAACCATGTAACTTGTCAATTATTGAGTGGTGAAAACAGTCTTAAGATTTTTTTATGTTCATGTGCTAATTTAAATAAGTATATTTTTTTAATGCTCTGTCATATGTTAACAACAAAAAGTCATTAAGCATACATTACAGTAAATGACCATTTACTTTTTTGTACCTTTTTTGGAAAAAGATCACTGCCTATAATAATTAACTAATTTCATAAGATACATTATATGGGTTTTTCTATATTATCTGGCTGATTATGGTAGTTGTTAACCTTTTCTTGCAAAAATGCAACAAACATTAAACACTAGCAAAGCTGTAATTTACTGAAATGTGCACTTAATGAGTTTTTCTTGTCATCAGATGATACATAGTTTTTTCTTCTGAATTTAAATATTGATTATATGTTAAGTAGTAACTCTCCTTCTTTTATTTATTTTAGAGTCTAACAGATACAGGTGAAAATAAAAAAAAAATGTGTATCTGTATTCCACAACATAACTGTCAATTTTTTTAAGGTTAGATTGCTCATCTTAAACTCAGACAGCAAATTAAGCTGAGAATAACGGGGACTTAAGATGTGTTGGTGCAACTAGGCATAAATGTTACAAGCAAATTTTGTATTGAAAGTCAAGTCACCTGTTTTTTTTGAGATCAATAATTCTTCAATAACCAATTCATTAAAATTTCGAATTTCTTGAAAAAATTTTTTTTTAATTGACAACATTGCGAGTGGGGTTAGTCAATCTTTGCCCATGGTACTTCTAAGGAAAGTTTTGATACTACTCAATGTAGAGAAACATCATTCTAATTCTGCAGTTATCATTGACATCGTAACAAGTACTTGAATAGTTAAAATTATTTCAGAAAAATCTTAATGCAAATTATTTTCAGTCAAAAATGTATGTAGCTGATTTGCTCCGGAAAGTTCTTTAAATCGGATCTTCTATAAATAATTTCCAATTCAGTGTATTTTTGTATATCCCTTTTTACACAATTTCCAATTGTGTAAAAAGGGATAATTGCAATTGCTGATCCAATGCAAATGTAAGAAAATTTGAGTTTTGTTTCAAAATTTTCCCTAATTGAAAATAATTTGGCTATTTCTAAATGTCCTGTAAGCACAAACCTTCTTTTAATTTTACATAGTATAGTGTATCACAATTTCTCTTAGCTTGAATAATAGTGGAGCCATAAGAATTTCTGTCATTTTTCTCCACTCTCTTCCTGGATTGCCTATCGTCAATATCTGCTAAATTGATCTCTCTTATGGTGTGAATATTGTCTCCTTCTTTTTGAATTTTTCTTCAAATGCAGTCAGGCATCATTTTACAGTTAGGGAATCAGTAGCAGCTTTTTGTATTTGTGAATATTAGATGATAAGGTGATAAGTATATGTGATGACATATACTCTATTAGGGTAGAATTTTAAAATTCCAACTTGTAGCAGATGCTGATGGAACCCTATTTTCCATAACTTCATCAAATATGGCAACTCTCAGAGTAAGATAATATAGTTTTTCTACCTATAGTTTTTCTTCTATAGTTTATAAGACAATAAGTTTTCTACCAAGGCCTACTTTAATTCAGTTTTTTTATGGCTTATTATAATACACCCAGACCAGGCTTTCTCTTAATATTAGATAAACCAGCTAAAAAGTTTCGGGTAATAATAAGTTTAGGGCATTCTACATAACCAAACTTTTATGACATTTAACATACGCTTAAATGGTGTCACAGTTGACAAGTCTCCAGTTTTTTCATACTCTCGCATATTATATGTCCACAAACATAGAAGTTATAGGAAAATATTTAATTTTTAAATTTAGTTAGAACCACAGAAAATAAGACGAAAAACAGGGACTTTTACATTTTTCACCTGGTCGTGGTTATAAATAAATACCCTTTTAATGGCCGCCCGCAATAAACTTCTTAGGAAATTTACAATTTATGATTCACAAGTGTCATTGTAGCGGGTTGACCATTCGCATCTAATATTAAGGTCCTAATTGATAAGATTTGGAAAGTGCTGATTTACAATATTTAACTTCATTTAAAGTAACAGAAAATATTTGTTTTATAGTTATTCAAAACTTGTAGCTTCTCATAATACAAATTATGATTTCATAAAAGTAACTTATATTTTAAACCTTCATATACATTTTACAAAAAAAATATGGCAAGTTTTATACTTATTTAAGATTTGTAGCTTCTCATAACACAAATTATTATTTCGTAAAAGTAACTTTATATTTCTATCATTCATATGCATATTTTACTAAAATAAACACTGCAACACTGTGATGTGGTGCCTTTAGGAAAATATATTTGGTTATGTATTGTGCCTTAAACTGATTATTGCCCAAAGTTTCTTAATGAGTAGGCTTTTTGATGTTTCTTTAAATTTATGATATTAGTCAACAACCAGATAGTTAACTGTGTGACATATTAACCTTATATACAAACCTTTAATACATATTTTTCAGGATGTTCAACACAATCTGGTGACATTCTTTGAATGACCACTTTTCTCACTGCTTTTAGTGTAACAAGGGGATCTGGGTGACAAACTACATTTAGAACTTTGGCAAGTTCTTTTATACCTTCACCAAACTCTGCACTGCGAACTAAAAACAATTTGATTAAATCTAACATAAAACTATCTCCATATTATACTCACAGTCTAATTTATCCAATACATTTTCTGCAACTACAGCTGGAACATTCTTGCTTTGTAAGTTTTCCACTGCATGTTTCAAATAAATGTTTTCTAAAAAGGAAAATCAAAATATATAGGTTTGGCCATATATTACTTGAAGAGTAGAAAAAATAAAAATATTTAGGTTTCAACAATAGGAATATCAATTAACAATGGTCATTTATGAACCAATTCTGAAATAGTTTTGTTGATGAAATTTAACCCTACTAGTAGGCATATATTTCAATTAAGATCATTGTAAAATTTAAATCAGTGAAAATATGAAAAAAGGTTGTGTGAATTTACATGAGAGCATAATGTTTATAAACAATATTTGATGGATAATTTAATACATACTATTCTTTTGTGTTTCCAATTGTACTGCATAACCTAAAATCCACTGCAATTCTTCAGCTCTATTTTTCAATGGGGGGCAGCCTATTCCATCTTTATATTTGGAAAAAGTATTATGCCAGTCTCTGTTGTTATTCTTTAATTGATTGATAATATCATTTGGGGCTTTTCGTATTTTATTGGCTTCCAACCAAATAATTATGGATTTGAATGTATTTTCATCTAAAAAATACCAGTGTTATGCAAAATTGCACAAGCTTTTATTAAATATAGGGTAGAATAAAGAAGTAGATTTATTTGGCTTACCATCTAAATTTACACTATCTGCATTTGGATATTCAAGGGCAGAGAGTAATCTTTTAGACATATTTTAAAGAAATATATTAATAATTACAGAGAAAACGCTACAGAACAAACAAACTAACCACACTTTTTAAGTTTTATTTTAACCGGCTCCGGCTTGATTTCTATTGATTATGAAACATGAAACTAAAGTTAGTGGCTAGTGGTCTGTGAAGTTGTTCGATGATGAAACTAAAGAAAGGAGGAAGAAGAATTTTTTATTTTGTCACTTTCGCCAACTTTCAACAACAGAACAACAAGAAATTCCATGATAGGAAGACGCCGAACCGATACAAGGTTAGTAGATATTTAAGTATAGATACTTAAATATCTACTAACCTTGGAACCGATATGTAATGTAAAAGCACAAAATATTAATAAATATTTAATGCGTTTTTGTTTTTGCTAAAAAACCTAAGTGTTAAAAACAACCCTGTCATTAAATCAATCGTTGAATTAGAAGCATTTTGTAATATGGATAATAAATACTGGAGAAATAAGGAAAAACCCATATTGACAACAACTCTTAGAAAAATCCAACCTTATTTGCAGAACCTATATTCCAGCAAACTTCTTCCTTGCCATGAGTATGAACTGGAACTACAACTTCAACCATTAGGAATTCTGAATGAAAACACTACAAAAAATGGTTCGACGGTTTGACGGCTCAACGGACACAATGGGAAAGGCGGGTATTGGAGTTTTTTCCCCAGACATAAACTATTCATTTTCATCTAAACTACCCAGTCATACTCAAATATGTACAGCAGAGGTAATCGCGATCAATCATGCAGTCCAAATTATACTAGAACAAAATATCACAGAAGCCATTATCTTTTCTGACTCCAAAAGTGCACTACAAAAAATAAAAAAAACAGGGTTTTCTAAAGACACAGAACATATATCGTATTTAACGAAAAGAGGAATTATCCTAGCAAGGAACAATAATATCAAAATCTTACTAGCATGGATCCCAGGACACACTGGTATTACTGGAAACTACAAGGCTGGCCAACTTGCCAGTATCGGTCGTTCCCTGAATATTCCCATGAATATCAAGCTAGTTTTCAAATTTTACACTACTTAAAAAGAGAGATTTGGTCTAACTGGGCAGCTGAATGGTACGAAGGATATGGCACAAGTAATTCATTCTATGTCAAGATTAATAACCGAATCCACACACTACCATGGTTCAATAAATTCGCATATATCAGTAGGAGACTTTAACTACAATCATCCGTATGAGAACAGGTCATTGCTCATCCCCTCTTCATCTATTTAGAATTGGAGTCAAAGATGATCCTTATTGCGAATGTGCCCAAATGGTGGACTTAAACCATATTTTATTAGAATGTCGCTCAAACCAAAACCCACATTTCGACTTGTATGCCGAATTAGCTAAAACTAAACTTCCCAATCCCATAAATATTTGCACAATCCTCACAAATATTAATGAAAATACAATAAACACCTTATGCAACTTACCAAACCCAATTCTTATTAACGCCACTCAAAAATACTACGAACAAAACTTGGCGAGAATTAAAATAGGACAAGAAATCACCTCTCCTTTTCAAACAACAAATGAACTAAGACAAGGCTGCTGTCTGTCAACCACCTTATTTAAAATCTATTTGGACAGATCTTTAGTGAAATAAGTAAAAAAATGTAGAAACATGGGAATGGGAACGGTGGAAGAAAACACGCTATATATATTTTTCTTTGCGGATGACCAGGTAGTAATTGCCGAAGACAGCTACGATCTTAGCTATATGGTAAGAAAACTGCAAGAAGAATATGAGGTGGCAGGTCTAAATATGAATATGACAAAATGTTCTCTCAGTGGGAACAGATTAAATATGTGACCTAGTCTTGGAAGACGACAAAATCAAAGGCGTGCAATCCTGCAAATTATTTGGGGGTCAAACCAAAAAACACATTTACAGTAGTATAGTCCAAAGTATTACACTTTACGGTTCGGAAGTATGGGACGTCACCAAAGCTAATAGAAACAAATTTATGACGATAGAAATGGATTATCTGAGACGAAGCTACGGTAGATCGAAACTGGAGAGAGTTAGAAACGAAATGAAAATGGAGCAAAATATCAATGATGACATAGAAAGAAAACAATTAATCTGGTTCGGACATGTTAAAAGAATGCCAGGGTACAGATGGCCTAATAGAGTACTGGAATGGATCCCTCCTGAAAGAAGAAAAAAAGGACGACCACGGAGAAGTTGGTGCAAAGATATTGATGAAGCAATGGCGGCAAGAGACTTAGAAGAGGCAACTGCATATGACAGAAAAAGATGGAAATTGGGGGCGGAGAAGCGGCGACAGCCGTAATCAATCCGTTATTATATATAACAGAGAGGTGACTTGTCATTTCTATTCGTACCCTGATAGATTTGTAAGCTCCCAGATATTTATATTTTTTCACTCTTGCTGTCTACCAAGGGTTAGTTTTTCATTATTTATTGGACTCCTTAATACTATTATAAATTTGGTCTTACACTCCAGTCGCTTAGCTCGGGCATATTTTGATAGATTCATTGTCGGAAACCTACAACCATCGAGCAATAAGACAAAAGAGGGAATCTAATCGTTATAAAAAGGAGACCAAAAAAGTGGCCTCTGATGGCGGACACATCCGGAAATGCAAAGGCGCCAAATTTAAATTTTTCGACACTTATCAACAGTAGCTATATAATATTTTTCAAAATGTGTCTTAGACGAGAAAGTTTTAATTAATTATTAATGATAAGAGTCTAAAATGCGACACAATTGTTAAAAAACTTCAATATAAATAAGATTTCATGTGACATTTGGGACAAACAATAACATAACGACATAACCCAACTAAATTTGATGTCAAACAAGGAGAGAGACTCTCTATCCTTGTCTAAAGTGGCCTCTCAAGATGGCACTTCCTGTCTATCAATATGTTTACCCCTTCTACCTTTACATTCCCTCTTTTGTCTTATTGCTCGATGCCTACAACACAACAATTCCTACTTCTCAGTATTAATAGCTCAAGTATACTTACTATTGCAGACTTCTTTCTTTGAAAAAAGAAGAATTATTCTAAATAGTGGAAGTGCATACTAAACCCATCAAATTTTGGGTAGTATATATTTAAAAAATATTTTTTAGCTGTTATAATTTAACATAACTATTTATTATATGGTGCAGATAAATAAATATTGATTGTCTCTAATTCGCAAAGTTCTATTTTATTTACTATTAATATATTGGCTATAAGTACATGTGCTTGGTTGTATAGTAATTTCCAGCCACTTTTAGTCTGTCAAAAATAACTAACTTCGCAAAAAAAAATTTACTAAATTCATTAGACAGTTCGGACTGGGAATAGCGAACCGAGTATATCTGTATTGATGTCAATCAATTTCCATTTAAATGCATTCACTATTTATTGCATCTAGTGCCTATATATAGATACTAATGTCAGAAATCATCATTAATACGTTATCGTCCTTAATTTAATTTATGATGTTACTATGACCTGATTTAACCGGGAGCGGGGTGTCAATAATGAAGAGATTTTTATCTTTCGGATGAATAGTAATTAAATCTTCTTAAACGTTCGGATTCGTTAAAGCAATTTTTTAAGCCATTTTCTCTATTCGGATTGCCGAATATAGGCCTCTTCTAATTCTCGCCATGCATCTCTATTATTTGTAAGACTTGTTTGTTTTGTTTCCACATTGGCCCTGCAGTTCTTTTAATATCGTCGCTCCATCGCATTTGCGATCTTTTAGCTTCATATGGCTGCCAATTCCCGATTTCTTTATTCCATCGGCAATCCGTAAGACGTTCGTTATGTCCAGCCCATTTCCATTTCAGTTTAGCTGGCTGTTCAACAGCATTTTTTACTTTTGTTCTATTACGAACATGTAAAGACCTTGCCAGTTTATAATTCAGTATCGTTTACAATAATTCTTAACCTCGACTACATTCTACATATTCAAATAATACATTAAGCAACAGGTTTTATTAATATTTTTATTGAAAATATTTAATTACACAGCCTTTTCCGCTTTGAGCGGGAATATGGGATAAGTAAAGTGTTCCACATCCATTGTCTTACGTTAAACATTTCTTTGTAATTGCTACATTCGCCCATTAGACTTGAATCACTCAAAGAGTAGAAAGTGTTTCTCATTCTACTGGGCGTCATATCATGGATGGCAATATAATTTTTAAATTGACAAGGTTCATCATCTGGTGCACTTCGGATAAATTGACTACTGTGTTCTGGATGTATTCCTGCCTTCCTTGCACATATACCTAAAATTAATGAAGCATATAAAGTAATCTATATATATATATATATATATATATATATATATATATATATATATATATATATATATTATATATATATATTATATATATGTTTAAATCTAGAGCTAAGATTAATACTATTACAGAAATTAATATTAAATTCAACAGTCTTCCGGGTTGAACCGCTCGATTATCATTGCGCCGAGCTTTCGACATCCTCTTCGATGTCTTCTTCAAGGCTTCCGAGGCCTCAGTCTCCCGAGCCCCTAGACACTACTAGACTGATCACTAATCAATGCATTGATATATATTCTCTCTAGTATTGTCTGTGGTGTCATAATTCTTCACGGTTATACTTAGGGTGGTGCTACCAGAGATCTTAAAAAGTCTTGTTATTCACAACGTTTTGCCAAGACCGCAATTTATTGAATAGGATAATTTACAACAGACACCAATACACCTATCATTATCTCAATTAAAGTTGACTGATATTTATGTTAATATTGCAATGCCACATATAACAATAGGATACATGGATCATCTTTAATCTACAAAAAAATATATGGAAGGAAACTAATAAATGATATGTGAATAAGAATTTACAACACTTAGGAGTTATAGTAAGGTTCCATTATTCCTTTGTTGCAATATAATTGTTTTGTTATAATAATTAGAAGGCTAAGTATAAAAATTAGCAGGAGAGTAAAATACCAAAAAAATCGCTGAGAGAGAGTGTGAGGGAAAAAGACGAATGGGAAGACCCAAAAAGAAAATATCAATTGAAAACTATCTCCAAGCAAGTCTTAGGTCTAGAAGGCCTGCAGATTAGCGATTCCTTCCCTATTAGTTTTATACATAGATGGACACACAGCAA